AGAAGTTATTCTTTGTAAATCTAGTTTTTATACTGTATATTTTCTTCGAGCTTGAGGGTCTCCTTGAGCCAAATTAAAATCAATTCTCTTTCGTCAAAACTTGTATGGAACAATAAAATATTTAAGAATTGACATTCTGCAGAGTTTTGATTCAGGTATGCGGTCCTGCGGATGAATGTCTATGTTCCCAAATCGAGTAGTGGAAAAAGCAGTTGATATTGCCAACAGGTTTGTCAGAAAAAAGTTAAAGCGGAAAATTTCCGTTACTTTTGCCCAATTTTAGAAATCAATATTTGAAAATGTTTTCACCAAAAAATGTCTTTCAAAACTGAAATTAGCTTTTTCCTGCGTAACTCGACGAGTTCAGTCTAATCTTGCCAAAAAACAAAAAAATTCCTCCTGCATTTGTGAACTGCTGGCACCTTATTTATAGTTGCTAAAACAAATTGTCCATAGCTCTCATAGAATTCATAATTGATACACAATATATATGGAAAATGACGGTGGGTTTTGATAATAAAGAAGAGTGATAACAACTGTTTCTTGTTTACAGTAACAGTTAAAACGAATTCGTTTTCGTCGACTTTATTTTTATAAAAAGTTTTATTTACAAAAAAGTTTTAATTTTAATTTTTATAAATAAAGATGAATCTAAATATAACTGCTATTACTATTTTATCAATTCTAAAACTTCTACCCCTAAACAAATATATTACTTTTAACAAAAACTCTTGAAATCGAATTCCCTCATCCAGTTATCGATAACTGCCATCGAGTTGCCCCCAAACATTTCGAGACTATGCTGAATTTTCTATCATCTAAAATGGTGTACAAATCTTTGTCAGATGAGCACCTAACTCGACTCGAGCACGTAACTCTGCTTTTTTATCATCCTTCTAGGATGAGTTAAAAATTGAATAAAAACTTTATCAGACAGAATTTTGTAGAATGAAAACATATCTCTGACAGAGGAAGGGTACCCTTAATCTTTTGTAGACCAGATGGCTTACAAAACTATTTGCCTTGGGCACGTAATTGTGCTACCGCAGAATTCCATTTGAATTCCATTTTGTTTCTACCATAGTTCTCGAATTAAAACATGTTCAGAGCTCTCCAACGTCGTATATCAAAGAGAAAAGTGTGCTAAAAAGTTTTGAGACTTTGACACACTCTACACATTCGTTTGTTCAGGAAGTATGTCTGAAATGCAAACTGTTACTTTTCAAAACTTAACTGAAAAAGTAGCAGCTGGTATTTTTCATATAGCTGTTAAGTAGAGGTCCTCGGGTTCAGATTTTTGGCTTAGTTTGTAGAACACACTTTAAAACCAAGGAATCAAAATTCTTTTAATTTTTCGGAGTTGAAACCTTTTCAGGCAGATGTTTTGAAGTTACTTACGAGGGAACCTCCTGAAGTGCTAAAAACCGTTTTGAATGGGACTATTTTTAAAATGTAGGTCTTCATGGGCTGTGAAGAACCACAATTTGGTTCGGACGCAATCAGCTTTGTTGCTGAGATATTAGATTTTTACTCGAATTTTCCTCATGGAACCTGGATTTCAAGCAAAAGAACTTTTTCAAAACTTGCTCCATGTTTTACCTTTGGTACCCATATGGACACAGTTCTTTCACCACTGCAAAAAGAAGTTTTCATCTGCGCGTTTTTTCATCGAACTAAAATAGGTCTGGCCTTCAATATGTGATACATTACAACATGAAATTGTGTTTTCAGGGTAAAAGTTATGAAAAACTTTAAAGTGACGGATTTTGCGCAAAATCGTTTGAGTTTCAAAAAATACAAATTTTGAAACTACTTTTTTTGAATTCAGCATTGAAAACTGAGTATAGAGAACGTCTTTGATTGATCTCAAACCTAAGAGGTAATTTAGCCTGCTTCAGTTGAACAGACCCTCCAAAACGAGAGCAGGTCATTTTGGAAACTTATCTAGTTTTTTGTGTGAATACATTTTGCCATTTCTCTTATATGATTTGAACTGTCAAACTGTCAGCTTTAACATGTCGTATCCATGTCTGTTAATTTTGTTTCCTCACTGAGAAAATTCTTTTTTTCTAGAGTGTATTAGCAGATTTATCCACGTTCAGCAGCTAGACGAATGACAGAGTAGAACCATCTTGTCTCAAAAAGTCACTTACATGGTGACTTAATAAAATGCAACTATTAGGGTTCACCTATGAGGTACGCAGTTATCGACCTAATAAACAGACTAGTTCATTTCTCGCAAACACATAGTTAGGTATCAGAAAGAACTAATTGTCTGCGGAAATACTGCATTCTGAGCAAAAAGATTTGTTTACTTTGTAAATGAAACTTAAAAGTCAGAGTTGGAACCGGTCCACGCAATCCGACTCCGGTACGAAGAAGACCGGACGAAAAGTCAAACTGGGCGGGACGAGACCGAACTTTTGACGAGAATATTCTCGTTCTAACGGCAGCGACTTTTCATCGTAATTAGCTCCTAATATCAATTAGACAAAGACAAACTAAATGGGAAGAGAATGAGAGAAAATTACACTCGTTTCTCCTCTTTATACACTCTGCTCAGATCACAATCATTTCATTTTCATATTTGACGTTATTACCTTCTATTGTCGATATCAATGGTTAATCCGAATCCAGATAGTCTTCAAGCTGGTCAAATTCAACGAAAATTACAATCGAAAGGATTTATTTTAATCACCAAGGAAAAAGCCCATCACGAGCTCTGGAAAAACGACATATCGTAAAAACCATGGTCTCAGACCTTTCCATGCTTATCTCAAAGAATGCAAAGCAAAAGAGATCTTTCTAGATTTTGATTCTCAGTTAGAACTCTTACATGCCATTTACAAAATCGTTTTTCGTCATTATCTTCGTACTAGCTATTGTGTGTTCGTTTGATTTTGCCGGATTTATGTCAGTTTGGCTTCAAATATGAACTGGCCGAAATTCAAGCGGCCCGGACGCATGCTCAAGTCGATCGGACACAAAAAGTCTGTCCAATTCCATCTCTGTTAGAAGTCATAGAATAAAGAAGCAAACACTATGTCTTTTATCTGACTGAGATGATCGAAACACATACCATTGTTACTATATATGTTTCGATCTTCTGTTAGTTCAGATGGTTATGTGTTTGCTTTTTAATTCTGGGTACCCACGTTCGAATCACACTGAAGCTATGCAAGTACAAGTTGTTTTCTTTTTCTATCTCGTCATTCTACTGGGTTGTATACTCGTTTGTATGTATATCTATGCATCCAGATATGTACCAGAATTTAATCTGATGCTGAATTTGATATGTTTTTGTCATTTAATTGATTGATACAAATGAATACAAACGCGTTTCAACGCGTTGAAACGGTCAAAGAACTACTCTAGAATCGAGAACTTTATCAGAAATTTGCAGATTAAGTTTTACGTAAGGAGAAAGAAAGAACATGAAAGAAGTAAATGAATAATTTCATTCTTTTCTCATAACCCTAGTGATCGCTTTTTACAAAAGAATTTGACAGGAATCTGATAAGAAACTTATAAGAATCTTATTGAATTCTTACATAAGAAGTTCGCACGAAAGTGACAAGAATTTGATAAAAAGCAGATAAGGATCAGTTAAGAATTCGACAAGAAAAGGGCAGGAACTGATAAAAGCTTCCAATGTTCCTTTTTCTTCTTTCGTTAGCAGTATAATTCATTAGTGAGTGTGTAAGAGGTCGTGAGACATTTTCAAACCGACCAGTCTTACCTACCTTGAAGAAGCTTTGAAAAAATCAGTGATGCTTATGTAGTATGTGCTTCTGCAAAATAAAACGGTGATTGGCTTTTAGGAAGAATTTCGTAAGGAAGTGTTAAGAAAGTAATAGGAGTGTCTTATCAAAGGCATAGCTCATTCTTATCCAAATCTTATCGGATTCGTACGAAATTTTTGTTATTTTCGTGCGGACTTCTTATGTAAGAATGCGATAAAACTCGCATAAGATCCTTATCGGAAATAACAAAAAATGTTTTAGGGAATGTGATCCAATCGTGGCAAGTTTTCGTTAAAATACAAACGTTTTAACTTACAATTGATGATATTTATTCAAATAAGTTCAGCTATTCAAATAACTATACTAAATTTTTAAATGGTTAGTCGAACTTTACGCTTTTTAAAAACGAATCAAAATTTGAACTGCGGTTACATCAAACGATAAAAGAGTGCTGAAAACTGTGTTAAAAACTGCTTCATTAGAAATACATGAGCACTTGGAAAAATCATCCCGTATCTGCAGTGACAAGATAGATCGGGTTATATGGATTGATTTAATGTAGTGTCATTTCTATTGAACGTAATTGAGATCAATTTCTTTTACATGAGAACATCTGTGACTGGAGGACATTTTCTCTCGGCTTAGCTCGAATCCATGTGATACGAATGTGTTAACACAGCTCGAATTATTATTTAGACTAGCTAATTGCAATGGTGTTAAGCAATCAATGTTTTCCTGATCAAACAGTGTAATGATAATTGCTTTCTGTTGCAAAAATTTGAAAACAAAGACAATTGTCTCATTCGATTTATCATCGTTTGTTGCCAGTAAATGGAATAAATTATTTTTTCTGTAATCAGAATCATATACTAATTCCACGTATCTTTCTAACACAGCTTCAATTAAATCTTTGTAATTCAACTTTGCTGCCAATAATAATACATTTTCACCATATTCATTTTGCCGTTTTAAAGTATCAATCTTTAAGACTTTAATCATCTGTTTTGCCAATGTTAAATGACCATTTAAAATGGCTTTTTCTAATAAATTATCGTCATGTCGATGAATCAATAATCGTGTGCATCTAAACAATGATGTAGCATCATTGTTTGATATTAAATCACGTAAAGATGCACAGAGATTATGAAAAAACAAACTTTCATTGCTTTTGTTGTTCTGTGCGGTATCTGAATAGAAAAACTGAGATATATACGCACCCATCATTGAAAAAGACCTTATAATCATTACCTTCGGTCATTATTATTGAATATGCTGATGTTTCTTTGTGAATTACAAACGCTGATGTTGATTTGTTATCCAGTTTTTCAGCGATTGTAAACGCTAATTGTGATTTGTACAATTCATAATATTTGATTTGTTCTTCACGTCTGTGGAAGAAACGCTCGTTACTCATACTCGATCCATCATCTAAATGATACTTTCGATGAGTATGACTCCAAATTATCTGATTTTAAAATCCTTAGTGAATTAAACTTTGATTCATAATGCTTAGATGGTAAGGATAGTAGATTGAGGCGATTCAAACATCATCATATTTGACAATGTTTTTGATGTACGAGAACTGATTCATTTTTCTTTTCAAAACAGGGCTTACATTTATCTCACATATTTTCTGAGGGATCTTTTTTCTATATTCATCGCAGTATTCTCTTATTTATCCATCTCTCACCATAAACAAATATCGTTTCTCAGAATGTTATCAAATGGCTCACTATCACGTCTCTTGCTTTTTTTCGGTGCTCTCATCAACAGATGTTATAGGAGCTTTTCTGCTTTACAGAAATAGGATCATTCCAGTTCGAACGAGCTGTGTCACGTTAGACAACGACCGTTTAAGACTGTGGTTTTTCCATGGCTAGAAACTCAGAAGGTTTTTTCCGCTTTTTGAGGTTGTGATTGTCAAGAAACTGAATAAAGGCTTAACTGGAAAGTCAGCGCTGGTCAACCCATGTAATTAGACGGTCTAGTTCAAACCGGTTTCAAGCAAAACACAATTTCATGTTGTAATGTATCACATATTGAAGGCCAGACCTATTTTAGTTCGATGAAAAAACGCGCAGATGAAAACCTCTTTTTGCAGTGGTGAAAGAACTTTTTCCATATGGGTACCAAAGGTAAAACATGGAGCAAGTTTTGAAAAAGTTCTTTTGCTTGAAACCGGTTTGTCTTACGAATTTTCATTTTCATAACTCATTGTACCTAACATTTGTGAAAAGTTTCATTAATGTCGAATGTACAGTGTCGGAGATAATTTCTGAGGAGGCCCTAGATGTATTTCTTCATTATTAAATTTTTAGGGCAGTCATCATGTTTGAGTGAACATATGAAACTTATTTAATGGTTAAAATGGCATGACCTACATTGACTTGTGCTCATCTACAGAAAAAATCGTTTACTTGCTTCACTCAGTCAAGGTCAAATACATAACGAGTCCAAAAACCCTGACTTGATAAGAGAAGCGAAAATAATCGTACCAAAACGATCATCTCTTCAATATTAACACTCCTGATATTGAAACTTTACTCTATCTATCTTTGACCTCCTAAAGAACAATGTTTCGAACAATTAATTTTTATTCTATCTCTTTAATCAGCGACTGAGTCAGCTTTTTCTACAGATCTATCGAGTAGTTAAAGCAAAACCTACCGGCATCAAACACACGTAACGGACCATATGTGTTAAATTCATTTTGTAATTGTCTGATGAGTATCAACTGATTAAATCTACAAATTGAAAGCATATAGACTCATATTTTATTCCACTAAGCAAATTATTTCTTTCTCACATACCGTTTAATTCCACCAGCCATTATATCTACTTCTCTGATTGGAAAATACAGAGCATTGCATTGTACATCTTGAGTTATGTCTTTATTCAATTCACGTGGTACTTCTAACGAATATGGATGAATATAATGAATATCATTATTGATATTTAGAACAGTGACAAGACATACACGAACATAAAGTTTTTTATTCATATCACACCATGATGATGGAATCTCGAATAGAAAATAGAAAAATTGTAAATTCACATAAAGACCTCTAAACAAATAGGTAATACTTGTATTGTAGGATAATCAAAAGTGCCATCTTTTGAACGAATATATTTCGGCATTCGTTGTTTTTCCACATCAATATCGAATCGATATCGTGCATGATAATATTCCATTGGTTCTGCTAGTATTTTAATAGTTTCAGAATGACTGTGGCTACGATCAGCTGTTTCGAAGGATATTCGTTCATTAATGTTGACATTTTCATTCATCATTTTAATCTGTGAAAAACTACAAACAAAGGATAATTGAACACATTCATCTCAACGAAAGAGTATAAATATATATATATCGCAGTAGAAATTAAAAGACACATTTAGATGACTGACGATATATACAAGCCCACGTATTCTTTATTAGCAAGCGAGATAGCAGCACAGAAAATTATTGAATATATCAAAGAGTTTACATCTATATATTTGAACATTCTTTCTTTTTAGAAGGATAGCATTTTGTACCATATTAGCTGCTTTGCATGGACATGTTTTTCGTAGCACAACCACCATTATAAGCACAAGGTTCTGAAGCTGAACTATCACTGCTACTAACATAATCTTTACAAGCTTGAATAAATGTGTGTGTTGGTAATGTCTGAGAATCAATAACATGTAATACAGAAAAATTATATTTTGTTAAATCTATGAGTTCATTAAAAAACACCATATCTTGGACATAGAACACATTTTGTTGTACAATGACGATAGATATTCATATTATCAGATGATGATAGTATTAAAATAACTTTACATGGTAAAATATTCTAGTAGTTCAAAATGCCGTTCTGTCGAAAAGAATGAATGTTCAAATATATAGATGTAAACTCTTTGATATATTCGACACTTTCCTGTGCTGCTATCTCTCTTTCGAATAAATAATGCGTGTGCTTGTACATACCATCATCCATCTAAAAGTGTCTTTTAATTTCTACTACAGTTGAAATTAAAATACTTTCATCATATAAACTTTCTAGTAGAACTTAAAATTCTCCTATAGTAGAGACGAAATTTGAATTTCACTAGTGCAAATCCCCGCTTATTTTAATTTCTCGTAGTAGAAAACGAAATTTGAATTTCAACTGCAACATATATATAGAATATTATTTCGTATAACACAACGATTTATTTCAGGCATATCACGCATTTTCTGACAAATTTTCTTACCTAAGATTATATCAGTGCATTTGAGTATTGTTGATTTCTCTTATTTTTTGTATACAGAAAGGAAAGAAGGGTTTTTTCACATTAGCATCTGTTATACGTGGGATAATAATTTTTGTTGTTGTAAAAAGTGGGGAAAAATCTTTTTCACACATCGTAAATAATACTCCGATAGGTAGTCGCTTTTTGTTCGATTATGAAAGGTAAACAGTCTAAACAAGTGATACTCACTGAAGACTAGCAGAGAAGATCTCTAAGACCGTATGTTTACGTCAGTTTTCATAGTGGGAAAAACGTTTTTGCCCCAGTTATTGATAAATGTTTATATGAATGTATGTGACTATATAAGCACTTAGAGGAAAGGAAAGGAAAAAATGTATGTATCTCGTGGTGTTTTTACTCACATAAAACGTATTTTGTTCATGTCATGCGCATGTGTTTCTTGAGTCAGAGATCTCTTTCCTGTCTTTCCGAATCTATTTTGACCAGCGAAATCCAAAAAATTTTCTTTCGATGTTAAATTATAGACTAGTCATGCTTTGTATTGAACAGACATGTATAGAGTCTCATGTAGTAATTCTGATAATCGCTTAAAACTTTTCAGATATTTTGGGCACATTTTGGTCATTTTTCACCCGAGAAAACCAATTATGCTCGCAGATAGAGCTGACTCTTAGTTATCTACTGACACAAAAATTTTTCGAAAATTCATTAACATGATTTATTTCTAATCAATTTCCAGTGAATATGTTTAGAATTATCATAATTCCCACATCTGGGGGAATTGTGACAAGTAAACGTATATCGTTGAGGTAATTCTGATAACTACAGCCAAAATAGCTGGAATGAAATTAAACCGTTTAGTTTCAAGAGGAGTAAAATGGAGTAAACTGACTAAAAATTACACCATCCTGTAAGAGGATTTTCTGCTCAATCTCCCACTCCCATATGAATTGTCGGGGTCATTTGGACTTAATCTAAATTAGTTAATTAGAAATTACGAAAAATAAAAGACATTTTTTTATTTTCTTCTTTGGAGTTATTATATAACACAACTATTTTTCATGGGGTAAATATGATAATCCCGAGTAAATACCGAAACGAATGACTTCCATTCATTGAACCATTGAACCATAGGGTAAAAATGATTGGTTTATCTGAGCGCTTAGTTCATTTATTATCTACTACCCGTCTATTACGTGGTCGAAGTGACGTTGTACCACTGTATAGGAATGTCTTTTTCTCCCACTAAGAAAGTCTGTGGTGGGATAGTACAACCACAATGTGCCCTGGTTTAAACGAAATTATTTTTGATGAGGTGTAGAGAATAATATACGTGCAGAATGACTGATCCATAAAAATATAAGAGAGAAGAAAATATTAAACGTATGTGCTGCAGGCAAACTTAAAATTCAGTCAAATTTAAAATCTGCCTCCCAAAACTAAAATTCTAATTTTAACTAGAGATTCGCTAGGCAAAATTAAAATTTTAATTATGACTAGGCCAATTTTAAATTTTTTTGACTGAAGGATCTCGAGACAAAATTGAAATTGTAACTCTGACTAAAAATAAGTAGGCAAAATTAGAATTCGACATTATTTTCATGTAATGTCGAATTTAATCTTAACTGGCATTGTGCGTTTAAGACATCCTAACATAAAATGAACAATAATATGTTTCTATCCCCTTTGATGATTTGACGGCTTGTTTTTGACGGCTTCCCTAACAGACGAAAAACCGATTTTTCACAAAAATGTCTGTGGCGAAGTTATATTCATTTCGACACGAAGACAAATGTTGTCACTATGCTCAGCGTAGTCGATTACCTATATTCCATGGCATTTCGACATTCCCAGAGATGTCTGCTCGGGGAAAGCGAGCCCTGCTCGAACGACGATAGTTGGAGAGCCAGGACTTGCATAATTTAGTAGAGTAACGTCCGGACTATCTAAACATGCAAACAAATTACTAACATTATATATTAGTTCTCTGAGAACGGAGCTGGTTTTCCAAGGATCCGCTAGAAACCCGATCTTTGAAATTTTTTTCAAAAGTTGTTTTTGCTTGTGAAAAGTTCCGTTCAGGTCTTAGCTATCGGACAGCGAAAACTGTAGGTCTCTGTCTCATTTCTATCAAAAGTAATTCAAAAAAGTAAGATCGGCTTTGTATTTTGAAACAGATAGTAATAAGTTTTGTGTTTTTTAATCATAATCCTGCTTATTAAGAAAAGATACAGGAAACTTGAGTAAAGGAGCAGACCAAGCTCTATGGTGCAGAGTCAACTAAACAGTCTAACGAAGAACTAAGACAAGTACATATATAGATTCTATTTGTGAATATAACAATAAAAAAGAAAGTACAGGAATAGACGAATGTCTCTGAGTCTGTGATCACATTTGGAAAGCTGATATTAGTGAGAAGTTAATGGTGGAGAATATGTTGTGCTCTAGACTGCACCAGTGATCAATAGGAAAAGAAGAAATGTTTTATCAGTCATTCACAGCAAAAACGATAAAACAACGTCTTAATATTTTTGCCCAGTTCGTAGAGAGTTAAACGGAAAATCTCCTGAAGAAAAGATCAACAAAATACGACGACACAAATCGAAGAAAATCAAAGAATACTGAGAGATAGACAGGTTTTGCCGCAACCAGTTGAGCTGTTTTTACAGGCTATATTTTAATGTCATCCGAAAGAATCTGAAAGCTTTGAATTTCGTTATTCGTTTTCGCCTAGCGAAATAAAACTGACTGAACTACGTTCGCCACCCGAACAGATTTTGAATCGCTAGAAGGATAATCTACAAATATTTACATAAGAGTGTAATGAAATCAAAAATGGAAAAATATTTAACATCATATTTCATCAAAACTACCGTTCTATGGATGTGTGAAACACAGAATTTAGAAAATATTTATAATGTAGCGACCATCTATGTCCAGCAAACTGAACGAATCGTGACTGAACGAATAGGTAATTTGATGTATTTGCACATATTGGAGAAATTCTAACATATATAAAGAAAATGTGAATCATTATTATTAATAATGAACGTACAAACGAACCAAAACGAATCTATATCGGGAGACAACAGATGGCAGTTTCAGCAACACGAAAAATGTTTCCCATAACACCAGTGCTGTTGTGGGATCCATGTGGACCCACAGCTGCGTTTTTTTCCTCTTAGCCCTATATTTCTGGTAAGAATATTATACAATAGCAAGAAACTAGAGATTAGAGAAAAGGAATGATCCAAAACAACAAATGTTAATGTAGTACTACACAAAAAACTGTAAGGTGGGTCCACTTTGATCCCACAACAGCAACGAAGAGTTAAGCATTCCGACATGACCATCCACTACAATAATTTATCATTTTTTTTTTCGTTTATCTTTCTTACTTTTCGTTCTGGACATAACTTGCATAAATATCCACCACATTCCAATTCTTCAAAATAACTTCACACACGTTATTTGATATTTTTTACTATAGGTTTCTTCCTAATTAATATATCATCATCATCATCATTTGTTTTATCACTATCATGTGTGTGTACGTCTGTTACACCATTCAGTGACGTCTGCCTGAACACATCATTAATGGAATAAATTCCTATGTTAAAGTCAGTTAAAATTAGATCTAAATCTTTTAATTTAGGTATATAGACAAATAATGATCTTAATTCACTAAAACGAAATCACTCTCTTCGATTGTTAAACATTCTATGATAATAGATCATAGCTTATTTGTAATCGATACTTTAAGTTCTTTTCCCGTCACAAATCTCGTTTTCACTGATCAAGTCCAACCTTGTTGAAACTTCCAGAAAATATCAGTCATATTAACGATACCTCATAGTGGAACTTTAAAGGAGACTCGTCGTCGTTGCAAGAGTGCCAATGGAAATCGTAGTTAAAATGCAGCAGTCAAGGTTACTGATAACGCCTCTCCTCCTCTCCATTCAGTTTAGCAGTGCAGAGCTCAAAATGGTTTCAAATTAAAATACACGCGTGACATCTTGTAGACCGTTCAATTCTCTACAAAATGAGCCGTGGAACTTCGTCCAAAGATCTGGGCCTCATGCAGAAAAATTCGCTACAATCAGCTGTGCCATCGCTACCACTGCGACAGTTTTATCCTAAAAATCTATTTCTAATAAACGAAAACGTACTTTTCATAGGAAATCGATAATCCTGATTACAAAGCAAGTCAAGTACGACCGATCTAAACATATACACTTTGGCTTTACCTTTGTATGTGAGGGTTCTGTGACTCTTGCTTTTATGCATGCGTTCAACTTCGTGAAGTACAAAGCTTTTGGAGTTTCATTGTGTTATGGAATTTCGAATGACCTTCACGATCTCTTTGTATAACTCAGGTACGTGTTTCGTTGATAAGGAGCATCACAGAAACGAATTTTATGTAAATATGTAAAGTGATGTTGTCATCCTTCTTCTATGGACTATATATTTATGATAAAAATTGGCCTATTTCAATGTCCGTTTGTAGAGAGCACCCGTAAACAAAACTTTCGTTCATAACTCTAGTAGGAGTGGTCCGTTACTCGTTACCTCCGCTACTTCGGTAACAGTAACGGTTTTGCATTACCGTTACTAGTGAAGGTAACGATTCAAGGGTTACTGGTACTTGTAACGGGTAAGGGTTAAGTCAAATGAATA